CTGTGTGTCAAGTAGTAAGATGCTACTGCAGTGTTTCCCACACATAGGCGAATCTGTGGCGCACTGTCACAGATTGCGTTTTTTTTCTTTCTATTATTTAAATATTTAACACTATTTAAAACACGCAGCGTATTTGTTCCACTGCATGTTTTTTTCCCTTGCTCTCCGCATGTCTCGCTGTCACCCGCGCGTCTCTCTCACTACTCACACACACGGCCCCTCCCCTCCCTGCGTCTGTATCTATGAAAATGTCATCCCTGAAAGCGTGGCCTATTTGGTGCAGAGAAGACCCCTAGCAAACACGCGATTTCGCCTTTCTTAGAAAGTTAATTAGAGTCGCAAGGTTGGGGTAAATTGTAGTTGGGTTGTCAGCAATGTTCCCTAAGCTGCACGCATGCGGAAAAGCGCCCGACACAGAAGTCTGAAGCTGCGTTTGATAAAGAACACTGCACACCGTGAACTCGCGCACTCGGTCTTGCGAGTGGTGTCTCACGAGCACTACACCAGCTGCAGTGTGTGCGTGGAGCCACAAACACACCTCACGCGCACGCACTTATGTAGGGAAGACCAGGGGCCGTATTCCTAAAGATTCTGAGAGTCCTCTCAGAGAGCTCTTATCTTAACCTAAAAACTCCTAGCTAGGAGTCTTAGCTTAAAAGTTATTCCAGAACACTCTTAGAGAACTCTGAGCAAGGAATTGACAACAACTTTTATCTTAGTGAGGAGGCGTGGCCGACCCCGTTGCTAGGTATGAGTCATCATTTCAGACGCTGTGATTGGTTGATCCTAAAAGTTAGAACAAACATATTTTTGATGATAATAGGCAAAATAGTGGGGGCGACAGTAGCTCAGTTGGTAGAGCATTGGCCTTAAGCCCAGAAGGTCGTGGGTTCAATTCCCACCTCTGCACCTTCTCCACCGACTCCCACTGATGACTGCTGTCGTTGTGTCCTTGGGCAAGACACTTAACCCCACTTTGCCCCAAAGCCCCCACTGAAAGATCAAGGCTATGCTCACACTCAGAGAGCAGCCGTCCTCCTGTGGACTCACCACCTGCAGAGGGTCAGTGAGGGGCTGGTGCTATGAGACTTGGGTGGCATCTCTGACTGCCACCCCCCTGACCCAGAAATGGATTAAAGGGAAGAAAATGGATGGATGGATGGATAGGCAAAATAAGGGCCCTAAAATGGACAAACTCAATCATGGAATCTAATCTTAGGAACACTGTGTTATTGTAAATAATAACCAAAAGCTATAAAGTCAGATATATCAATGGTACATAAATACTGTGAATAGTAAAGTTAGACTTATACACCATCATCAGAGCTTGCTCAGCACCAATTTATCACACATAATACGTATATATCATGAGCACTTATAATTTTATATATATATATATATAATTTAAATATTACTCTATATATAATATACATGATAAAGAAAATTATTATTATAAATATTATATGGATAAATGATGATAATGATAACGTTAGGATTAGTAAAGGCTGTGATATGTATAGACTTATAAGAAATTAAGGAAACAATATTAATATAAACATATTATACATACACTGTACTAATCAAGTACAAGGGAGGTTAAAAGTCTTATCCTCTCCCACTCCTTTTTGAGCTGGATTGTTGTTAATAAAACAAAACTGTATATTTGTACTTCTATTCTGTTGTTGTTTTGTTTGTTTTGTCCTTTTTTTTCTTGTTTGCCATGGCTCAAAATAAACTATTCATTCATTCGTACTGAATGTGTGACAATTTAGGACCACTTTTTCCTCTCTTTCAACTTTTACCATTTCTACTTACTTTTGTGTAACAAAGGTAAAATGGATGAGGTGTTATTGCTGACCAGCCAATGAGAAGCTGGTCACATGATTGACTTTTAAATATACCACAAACATGATTCCTGCTTGAATCTGTAGCGTTTCACTGATTCACTGTCATCCAGTGTATAGAATATTTCTCCTGTCTCCACCGTCCACCATTTTGTGCTCTTAGGGAACTTTTAAGTCGCTAAAAGTCGTCCTCCTCAACTCTTAAGGGATCTCCCCTTAAGAGCACTCTTAAGAGCTAGGATTTTTTAGGAATAGCTTTTATCTTAACTAGGAGCTACTCCTCACTTTTAGGGGAAATTCTAAGAGTTGGTCAAGATTCTAAGAAAATTCTTAGAATTTGGCCACTAGGAGCAACTTTTAGCAGTAAGAATCTTTAGGAATACGGCCCCAGGTCTGGTCAGACCAGCGTCCTCTTCAGTTTAGCACAAAGTTGCCTATTGCTGAGTAAAGTTGATTGTGTGGGAATATGACAATTATTATCTTAGATAAATATTGGTCCATGTGTTTTATTTTATAATGCATACTTATTTGAATAATGATTAAGTGAATATTGAACCGAATCATAGTTGGTTGAAGCTGGAGTATCTTAAATAAATGAGATCAGCAGGTGTACAGGTTTTCAACAGAGATCTCTCGCTCAAAGTGTTCCACTTGCCGCTCAGGGGGTTGTGTTTTTGCCCTGACCCATGAAAAATTAGAGGGAACATTGTTTGTCAGGTCCAAACACTATATGTAGCAGCTTTGAATCAAATAAACGTATTGTAGATAATGTTTTTTTTTTACTCGTACACTGAATGTTTGCTGCTTCAATCCAGATTATTATTGAAAAGTATTTTCCGCAAAACATTTCCGGCAGAGGGGGGCCCCACACATTGATTCCAATCCTGTGGGAAACACTGTACTGTATTGTCAAAGCCCCTTTGACCACCGCTATTCATTTACACGTTTCTTAGTCGTCAAGGTGAGGATGTGTTGTGCCTAACGATGCAACAGCATTACTCTTCCTTATATCATGGACTGTTAAGCCTCTAAATGCGTTTAGCAATATCATTGCTGTTGAATGTCTCACAGTAGGTCTCCTGCTTCTCTTCTGTGTATTCCCCTTATGTGGCTCCCATGACTCGTTACCAGCTAAGGAACAATGACACCACATCAGACCACCACTAAGGCCTTAACCCCCTCTCACTCTATTTCTCTCAGCCTCCGCTCAGGCGCAGTGCTCCCTCCTACACACTGAAACAAATGTGCACGAGGTCAATGAGCCCAGGGCAGGGGCAGAGCTCCTGACCTCTTGGCTCGTAGGGAAGAATATAGCACTGATCATGGGAGACACACCCTCTAGCTGACTGATTCCACTTTACCACTCCTAGCCCATGCAGATCTCTGTATAAACTACTGTATCCAAATATATGATTGGATCTCGAGCTACACTATTTTTCAACAGAGGAAGTGCTCTGCAAACTTTCTATAAACCGTCAATCACAGGAAGTTTTATTGTTGGAAATAAAATATTGTTGGTTAACTTGCGTCGTTTTAGTATATTTAGCCGGAGAGGAGTGGGTGGGAGCGCTCAGCCACTTTTACAAACCAATTATAATAAGCCTTTTGATCTCAATGTGTTTCAAACAAATCAATTTCCTTCTCTGTAGGTGTGTGCATATCTCACTGTTTCCACTTAGGTTTATTATTCTCTCTTTAATGAGCAGACACGTTACAAGAAAACTGTGGGTGTGTGGGGGTGTATATGCATTCCTTTAGTCGTGGTTTTTAGGCTGCATTTAAGCAGTTTGTCATTTCTGGGCATTTTTTAGCTGTTTATCTTATATTGTTTTGAGTGCTTACTATTCCCACTGTTCTGTACTCTGTGGCGACATTGAAATCCCCCCACTGTTGAACAAAATCAGGTTCTCTTATCTGATGAATATGCAAAATGAACGGGAGACCATGTGACTATGGTAGAAGTAAACATTCTATATGGTTTCCAGCCTTCGCAGTAGAATGCCGTGGTCTATTGTGTCAAATGCAGCGCTGAGGTCCAGTAGGACCAACACTGACACTTGTCCATTATCAGTAGCTAGTAGTAAGTCATTTGAAACTTTGGCTAGTGTTGTTTCAGTGCTATGATGAGCTCTGAACAATTAAAAAAAAATTGGTAGATTCAATATTAGTGTTCTGTATATGTATTATTAAATTCAATTTTAACTTTATAGT